GTCTCAAACAAAAACAAAAACAAAACAATCCAACCTGATGTTCATTTTAATTCTGTTCATTCCTGCTTCTCCACTAAGTCAGTTCCGTGTCACACCCACCGAGGGGTCTGGACACATGGAGCACGCAGCTGGTTTTCATTGAGCACTTGCTGTATACCAGGCACTATTCAAACAGCTTCCCATTGGCCCTCACAACAACCCAATGAGGCAGGCCGCTGTGTCTTCCATTTCTCACTGAAGAACTAGGTACTTGATGTTAAGTCGTTGGCCCAGGGTCACCCGGCAGGCATTGGCACAGCAGCAGGCTGACAGTCAGGCATGCTGGATTTAGTTGCATGCACCTGACCATTGTATCTCACGATCCTTGTCACAGTGGGACTGAGCCACTTGTCCCCAGTCAGTAGGTGTGGGAGCCACTCAAACAAACTGATGCCTTCAGGCTGACCTCTAGCTTCCATATGTCCCAAATTAAAAAAGAAAAGAAAAGAAAATGAGCCAGGCGGTGGTGGCGCATGCCTTTAATCCCAGCACCCAGGAGGCAGAGCCAGGCGGATCTCTGTGAGTTCGAGGCCAGCCTGGTCTACAGAGTGAGTTCCAGGACAGGCACCAAAGCTACACAGAGAAACCCTGTCTTGAAAAACCAAAAAATAAAAAATAAATATAAATAAATAAATAAATAGGGCTGGAGAGATGATGAAGTGGTTAAAAGCCAGAGGACCCAAGTTCAGTTCCCACCATGCATATTTGTAACTCCAGCTTGGGGCATCCAATGCCCACTTCTGGTCTGGGTTCCTTGTTAACCTATACACAGCGTACATTCATTCACACACACACACACACACACACACACATCTTTAAATGAGTAAATAAAAAGGATTGAAAACAGCACTCAGGAGGCAGAAGCAGGTTTGATCTCTGAGTTAGAGGCCAGCCTGGTCTACAGAGTGAATTCCAGGACAGCCAGGGCTACAGAGAAACCCTGTCTCAAAGAACAATATAGAAAGAATAACATGTATAGATAGATAAATACCATCAACTTTTCTTACTAATCAGCTTCAATTTCTTATATTTTAGATGAAAAATAAACCCAGAAGTGCTAATGTTTTCTTCCAGAAACCTCTAAGGACTGTCTTGAGTACCTTCCAAGGCACATGCTCCTTGCTCTGATGACCATGTCTGGATGACCTGTAATGGAGCCAAATAGGCAAGAGATGAGAGCAGAGTCAAGGAGTCAGATTCAAGACCCATTTAGGCGATAGAAATCACCTACACTTGGTGAAAAGGGGGGTGAGGCAGGAATGCTCGACATGTGATTGGATGATAGCTGTGTGTATTAGTTTTTATTACTTTTCTACTACTGTGATGAGACACCGTGATGAAGGCAACTTTTTTGTTTTGTTTTGTTTTGTTTTGGTTTTCAAGACAGGGTTTCTCCGTGTAGTTTTGGTGCCTGTCCTGGATCTCACTCTGTAGATCAGGCTGGCCTCGAACTCACAGAGATCCTCCTGGCTCTGCCTCCTAAGTGCTGGGATTAAAGGCGTGCACCACCACCACCCAGCGACAAAGGCAACTTTTAAAGGAAAGCATTTACTTAGGTGTATGATTCCGAGGGTTAGAGTCCATATTGGGGGCATGAAGTCATGGCAGCAGGAACAGCTGAGAGCTCACCTCTCAACCCTCAAGCAGAGGGCCGAGAGTGCAGCAGGGCATGGCAGGAAGCATTTGAAGCCTCAAAGCCTGACCCTGTAATACACCTTCTCCAACAAGGCCACACCTCCCAGCCATTCTCAGACAGATCCACCAATGAAGGACCAATTTTTCAAACAGACAAGCATGTGGAGGCTATTCTCATTCCAACTGCCACACTGTGCCGGTCTTTACGATAAGAAACGCTGCAAACACAGACGTGGTGTAAATGAACACAGATGCGTTCATTCTGGGCTAGAGGCTGAGATGTCCGTGAAATGCTTAAGGGAAGCAGAATGTATCAGTCGTCGATAGCTTCGTAACAACCATCCCTAACGTTAGTGCCTTAAAATAGCAGTCATGTCGTTTACCCACCACCATGATTCTGTGGCTCAGCGAGTGGGTATGCTTCAGCTGGCAGTCACTTAGGGTCACTCAATTATTCAGAACCTGGAAGTTTTACTGGGGCAAGATGGCTCCACCTGGCCTCGTTTCCCCATGACAGGCAGTTGGTACCAGCTGGGAGCATCAGGCCAGCCCCGACTTCACATGGCAGCAGAGGAGTCCCAGAAGCAAGTGAGAACAGAGGGGAGGTGTTTGTTAGATGCCTACTGAGACCCCACTGTCTAAAGCTAATTACAAGGTCAAACTCACGAGGAGGGAGCAGCCTGCATCCAGAGGCATGCTTCCTGGGGGCCGTACTGGAACAGTTTTCCACCGAAAGCCCGTCCTAGGGCTGCCAACCTGAAGCTACCTCTTGGGCCTTTTGCTTTGTAAACCGCCCGCTCTCCTCAGGGGCAGGGAAAAGGGCTATGGGAAAGCAAGAGGGATTTCCCAGTGGGGAGTCCTCCACACCCCGCATCTCAGGGACGCTGCTCTGTTTCTCTTCCCCCTCCTGCTGGGGGATGGTGGGGGATGGGAGGGAGCAGAGACTCTGGGGAAGGAGATGGCACAGAGGCTGTCTGTCCAGTTCCCTTAGGCTAGCAGGACGAGAGTGGGTGGGCAGGACCAGACGGGGAAAGGAGAGGGCACGGGGTGGACAAATTCAAGGGCCGACCTGCAGTTATCCCAATGCATGGGCACAGAGAAGCAATTGTCATCCAAAGTAATGCATCTCATGTGTGGCAGGCAGGCATGGGTGCTCCGGTCACGGCACAAAACCTTGCAGATGAGGAAGCTGTGACACATGCACGGAGAGAACCGGGCATTATCCCCAAACTCGGAGGTCACACTGCGTGGGGAGGAAGAGGCAAGGGGGTGTGGAGTTCGAATCTCTTTGTCACCACTTCCCAGCTGTGTGACCTGTGCCTCTGTCTTCCATCTGTAAGACAGAAAAGGCGAATGGAGATTGTCCGGTTGTGAGGAGGCTGGGGACTGCCTCCCAGAAGGCCTGACTCAGGCAGTGAAATTCCTCTCGCGGCCCAGTCTTCTCGGCTCCTTATCACACCAAACACCTTGCAATCCACTAGTTTATCAGCCCTGGTGCAGAGTTGCTCTGAGAGGCCAAGGCTGACGCCCATGGAGGTGCCCCAGCCTCTGAGTGAGACTCTGCCCTGGGGTGGGGGTGGGAAGGGGCGGGAGTGAGCCCTGAGAAGAGGGAGTGTGAGCCTGGAGCCTCAGGATGCTGGAGAGGAAGTGGGAAGAAGGGCGGGGTAGGGGGCTGGCGATGGGAAGCCAGATGTTCTAGCTGAAGATAAAGAGCTGGACCACACAGGTTCCCGAAACAGTGAAACTGGAAACTGCCACACTAAGTCTCTTACAGCCTAAGGCACCAGTTCCTTCCTCAGGGACCCTATGAGGCCCAGGGGAGGAAGGCCAGGAGCCCCTATACCTGGAATTAGTGCAGCTGGGCCAGGAAATGCCTCACCTCGCCCCATCCTCTCATTTTCTGACCTTCAGGCTCAACTCTACCCTCTTCCTCTCTAACACCCCCACCCCACCCCCCACCCCCCGCAATTTCTTCAGAATGTCCCAGGGCTATAAGGGCACAGAGACTATCAAGCCCAATGTTATGGTTTCCAGAGAGGGAAACTGAAGCTCAGAGAGAGCAAAAGACTTGCCTGAGATCCTTTAGCACGACAAAGGTGAAAACCAGAGAGACAGCCTCCCTGGCAGAAAGGCACTCTGGACCAGCTCAGAGCTGAGTTCACTGAAGGTGTGCTGTGTGGCCCTGAGTAGGCTCACTCCATCAGTCCCCTCCCAGCCTGCAGTGACTCTGCCTCCTGTGCATCGGGCATGCTGCAAAGTGACAGACAGGTGTGTCTAAGAGCAGTGTGCAACAGAAAGCTGAGCTGTGATATTTCCAGGGGACGTGGTTTTCACTTGGCCACGGCTCTCATTCCCCAATGCGCACTCTACCTTCATACACATAGCTCCTGCCTGGCTCTGAGGAACTGAACCATCCCAAGAGGATGTGCAAAGGATGCCATGTTCCTCCCCTCACCCTGCAGTACTGCCAAGAAGATGGACGGGGAGAAGGGGAACCCACCCTGCATCTGTCCTCCCACGGCAGGGGAGAGGCCGCAGTCTCCTGAAGGCTAACTCTTCAGGCACCAGATCCTAGGGCAGTCCTTGATCCTTGGCCACCTCCTGCATCCTAGGGGTGTCCTCACCCACTGAAGGCCTGTGCCAGACCCTGGGGGTGGGTGTGAGTTTCCAATGGAAGTGAGTTTCATTGTCCTCATTGATGGTAAATAACTCCACATGCCAGGCCCTGGACAGAAGCAGCTTCAAGAGTGCCTTCCCCATCACATTGGCCCGCATCACCCCAGAGATCATTTGGAAACATATCTCACTCTGCACAGAAGGTGGGAAATATGTCTCACCAGAAATTCCATTCTTTGCCATTCTGTTGGCCGGGATTTGGGAAAGAAACTGCCAAAAGTGCAATCAAGCAGGTCGTCACATGGCCGAGTCCTCTAGGGCTCTACTCTGCCTGTGATCGTGGTTGGTCGTGCAGATGGAAGGCTGGAGTGGCCAGCACACCATTTATACTGAGGTGACCGCAGTAACGACCACGAGGTGAGGTGATTCCATAGGAGATGGTCTGTAAGGGAAAACGAGAACATGACCAATCCAAGGTACAGTTGAGAAGGTTTTGACTGTGGATCTGAGGGAGGGCATCAGCCAGGGTCCAGACTGAACCAGGCCATGAGAGGAGGAAGAGATGGGGAAGGTGAGAGAGGAGGGGGGGGCAGTGGACCGAGTGAGCCAAGAGAGCAAAGGAAGACAGACAGAGAGAGAGCTAAGAGAGCATGAAATGTCAGGGTTATATAGGAAAGAGAAGCTGGGGAAGGGAAGGGAAGCTCCTGGGCTGGAGAGGGTTCGAGTGGGGATGAGGGATGAGAAGAGCAATCAGAGAGGAGCTACAGGTACTGAGTGAGCCTGGCGGCCAGCCTATGCTTTGGTATGCTAATAGGCACCTCAGTGAGCCATTTGTCTGGGTTTCTTAGGGACCTGACAGTTTGGATCCTGAGGGCCTTGCCTCCTTCGCTACTGCCCTCGGTGTGACGGGAGACGGGCTCCCACACCACCCAAGAGGACGAGGAAGAGGTGGGAATGTTCAGAGCGCACCTGCTGGGGTCTGGACAGCAGATGCCACGGCCAAGTCCAAAGACACCAGGGGCCCAATATGGAGATATCTGATGAGTTCTAGCACACCATGGACGGGAAGCTCTCTGCAGAGCTGGCTGAGAACCACTGCCAGGCGCTGACTCCCTGTGGAACTGGGAGGGAACCACCCGACTAGCAAGAGGCGCATCCTGCTCCCTCCCCGAAGACAGAAAGGCCTGCCCCACTGCACTAGTGACGAGACAGCCGTGGCAAAGAATATTCTTTAGGAAGAATCTTAGGTGTAGCTGTTAGGGAGGGCCTCTCTGCGATCTTTGTGACTGTCCTGGGTGGCATTTTGAAGACTGTGCATGAGGTCAAAGGTAAAGGCACACATACACTGCCACCCAGGGACTTTGGAATTCTGAGCCAGCCCACCGCAGAGGCTGGTGAGATATTCACATTATAATCAGGGGACAAAGGAGCAACATCTGATGGCTTTTGTCCTCAAGCTGCCCCCCTCCTTCCTAGTATGCCAAGGCCTCCAAGTGGTTTGGAGCTGGTTTTGGTGATAATTGTGTGTGTGTGTGTGTGTGTGTGTGTGTGTGTGTGTGTGTGTGTGTGTGTGTTAAATGTTTTTTAAATTTTATATGTGTGAGTAGTTTGCCTACTGTATGTCTGTGTACCATGTGCATGCTTATTGCCCGCAGAGGCCAGAAGTAGACATCAAATCCGCTGAAACTGGAGTTACAGATGCTGTGAGCCACCATGCAGATGCTGGGAACTGAACCTGGGTCTTCTGCAAGAGCCGAAAATGCTCTTAACCACTAAGCCATCTTTCCAGACTCCCCCCCTCCCCCAGGTGTATCCCAGGCTGGCTTTAAACTTCTGATCCTCCTGCCTCTGGCTCTTCAACCACCAGTCTGCACCACCACAGCAGGCAAACTATGTTAAAATAATAAAAGGGCGTGATCTGTTTTATGGTGGGGAAATGAGTTGCAACTAGTGGCCGTTTTAAAGTGTTGGCATGAACTCATACTGATGAAAAGAAGAGATCAAGACAAAGAGTTGTGAGTATCTGCTAAATAAGCCTCCCAGCTGACAAGGTGGGGAAAACTCTGTGCAGGCATCATCCATGTGGAAAACGGTCAATGTCTGCTGGTAAAACAGCCTTTCTATGTATGCATCATGCCATTTTGTCGCAGGGGTCTGATGAGGGGGTGGAACACTGGTGAGACCCTGAGAACCAGAAGAGGGAGGTGTGGAAGCTGGGGGATGGCTCCAATCAATGTTGGAGGCCCTGCTCTACAGGAGGCAGGTTGCTTAGCTCCTCCTTGTGGTGGGTTCCACATTCATGAAACTCCACCAAAGGCCAAAGGACAGGAGAGAGTTTATGTTTACGTAAAGCAATCCACTTTGGCTGGGTTGGACTCTTTCATTGTTCTGGCTAATACTTAGAAGGAACAGTTTAAAGGTGGAAAGATCACTTTTGAGTTTGTGAGCAGCTGGCTCCTGTTGTTTTCCAGGCTGTGGTAGGACAGAACATCATGGGGGAAGGCACAATGTTGCAGGGCTGCTCACCTCAAAGCAGCTAGGAAGCTAAGAAAAGCAGAAGAGGGCAAGGGCGGGGCAGGGGGACAGGAACCAAGACACTGTTAACTGTCCAGAGATACTTTGCTGCTCTCCTGGACATCTCTCAGCCCAGTCTCACGTTGCTGGTCAAGGTTAGCGTCACTGGCTGTTAGCGTGCATTTAACATAGGTTCCTCTAAAGCTCAGAGAGGCTGAATTCTAGATCAGACCAGATCCAGAAAGTGTCCAGTCTACCCAAACCCTCGGCAATACATGTGCTAATTCTTTTTCAAAACCAGAATCACGTTAAAGTATCCCCCTCATCCTTCTGCAGGGGCCTCAGGAGTGACTTTTGCATTAACCTGTCTCAGCAGCTCCTGTTCAGGCCCTGAGGCAGGGAAGGCATTTTCTACTGGCCCACCAGGTCCCTCACAAGAACTGGGAAAGAGCCAACTACTTCTCTCTCTTTTTTTTCCTTCCTTCCTTCCTTTTTCTTTCTTCCTTTCTTTTTTAACTTTCATCTCGGGCAGTGGTGGTGCATGCTTTTAATCCCAGCACTTGGGAGGCAGAGGCAGGTGGATCACTGAGTTCGAGGCCAGCCTGGTCTACAGAGTGAGTTCTAGGACAGCCAGAGCTACACAGAGAGATCCTGTCTCGAAAAACCAAACCAACCAAACAACAAAAAAAAACTCTTTCATTATTTGTATGTGTGTGTATGTGCCTGTTGAATGTGTGCGGATATGTGCCAGTGTGGAGGTCAGGGCCCAGCCTTCAGGAGGTCATATGCCCCTTCCACCGTGGATTCAGATCAAAGTCAGGTCCTCAGGCCTGTGGGACAAGTACCTTTTCCCACTGATCCATCTCACCAGCTCTGCCTGCTTCTTAGGAAGATGAGTTGGTTTGTGCATCAGGAATTCTGAGGCTACCTCTGCCTTCTCTTTTCTGTCTCACTTGGACTGCTCAGCTGCTGAGGCTGTGTGTACAACCAGGGTGGAAACCTGCCCACAACCCCAGAGCAATTATCTTCACGGAAGGCCAGTGATGAGCCAAGCAGGAACCCCAAAGCTGCCCTTGTCCATGTTATTGTGCCTGTTCCTCCTAACCGTTGACCAAAGTTTCCTGTGCTCTCGCATCTGCCTGAAGTGCTTTACCAGCGACCAGCGACCCGCTGCCTTAGCCCTGTGTGCTCAGTAGTCATGGCCCCATTTTTCAGATGAGAAAGTTGAGCCCCAAAGAAGAGAGACAATCTGACCAGGTTGCCGTAAATGCTCTCAGATGTCCCTTCCAGTGGCCGTTCTGTCCATCTCTCATCCTTCCCTCTTTCTTCACCATCCCCCCTTCCCTTTCAGTCATCAAGGATTTGACCCTCATGGCAGCCTTGGGCTTTGGCTTCCTTTCCTCATCTTTTCGGAGACACAGCTGGAGCAGCGTGGCCTTCAACCTCTTCATGCTGGCCCTCGGGGTGCAGGCATCAGTCTTGCTGGACCACTTCCTGAGCTGGACCTCCCAAAAGGATGCGCTCAGTCTGCTCAGGTAACTGGGTTATTTGGGTGCTTAGAATGTGGAGAGGGAAGGTTCTAGAAGATCAGGGCATCTCTTTTTCTAGCTCTGACATCACGAAATACTTACGACATACTTTTTTTCTAGAAGCTTTTCATTGTTGACACAAAAATCTAATTTAATTGGCCTCTGCTGGGCATTCCCACTCTGGTACCCTGGGCATCTGGAGCTACAGTCTTCCCTGGATTCTCCCTATTGTGTTATTAATGATTCTGATTGTATAAAGGCATACAATGAACACAAGTTAGTAGAAAAGGTGAGAAAAAGACCAGACAAGAAACAAAACAGAACACAGCACTGTCGTCTGGAGAGGCAGTTTCTCAAAGAGAAAGAAGGCTGGGCTGGCGGCATGCCTCTGAGGGGAAGCAGCAGACTAGCATGGGCAACAGCCTTGGGGTCCATGCCCAGCCTGCAAGGAGAAAACAAAAAGAGGAGGAGGAAGAGGCAGAGGAGGAGAGAAGGAGAGAGAGGAGGAGGGGACAAGGGACAGGAAGAGGGAGGAGGGAAGGAGGAAGACTCAGTCCTGAGATGCCGGTAGACAGGAAATAATCACACTTATATTTTCTTTAAACTAACATCGATCCAGGTGGACATATTTAAATGAGATCGTACAAACTGGCAAAGCTAACTTGAGATGCTAGACATTGGAGTAGTGGTTACCCGGGGAACAGGGGAGTATGGATTAGGAAGGATCACCACATAATCTGTGGGCTCAGTGAAATTCTCTGTGTTAACCTGGATGATGTTTATATAGGGGAAAATCAGATTGATAACTGACAGATGATTAATAGAGACGAGATGATTAATAGATACAGATTAGTCAGGGTTCTCTAGAGGAACAGAACCAATAGGATGAATATATGTACACACACACACATACACGTACACACACACACACACACACACACACACACACACACACACATATATATATATACACACATATATAGGAATTTATCAAATTAGGTTACATTAAAATAATAATAGAGCTGGGAGGTGGTGCTGCACATCTTTAATTCCAGAACTAGGGAGGCAGAGACAGATGAATCTCTGGGTTCAAGGCCAGCCTGGTCTACAGAATGAGTTCCAGGACAGCCAAGGCTACCCAGAGAAACCCTGTCTTGAAAACAACAACAATAATAACAGGTCTCTCACACCTGAGGGGCAGAGAACATGGTAGTTACTTGATCCTTGAGACTGTGTGCCCCTGCAGTTAGCTGGTGTAGTCCCACAGTGGCTGTCACACTCCAGTGGTAGACCACCCAAGTACTTGCTCAGTCCTGGAGAGTGGCTGGTCCTTTGTCCACAGTGGAAGCCTGGAAATGCCGGTTCTTTTATCAGTGAAGGAAGCAGCAGCAGCAGGGAGGAAGGCTGGCCGAGCAAGAGGCAAATCAGCTTCCTCCTGCTTGTCTCTTGTCTCTGGGTTCATACCAGCAGGTGCCTCCCACACTCAGAGGTGGGTCTCCCCACATACACCAGCAATTAAGAAAATGACCCTAGCCGGGCGTTGGTGGCGCACGCCTTTAATCCCAGCACTCGGGAGGCAGAGGCAGGCGGATCTCTGTGAGTTCGAGGCCAGCCTGGGC